TCTCTCTCTCTCTCTCTCTCTCCATCTTTTGTGAATCCATTTTTGTTTTGTTTTGGTGGTTATTTTTAATTTTGCGTTGTGTTTTCGTAATATTCATTTCGAATTTGTAGAATTATATCGACAGACATTTCTCTTCGGGACGAAGAGTCGTTTTCTGCCACACTAGCCTCAACCAAAAATAAGAGTACTTACAGCATGCTCTCAATTTATCAAGTTGGTGAGAAAAAAGAATTAACATTGCATCATTCATAGTCTAAAGCATTCCGTTGCACAGGCTATTGTGACTGTCTCGATTGTTGCTCATTTCGAAATGTCTTATTTCAATTTTCATTACTTCAGGTCTGGGTCATGGGGAAAATAATAGTGACAATAGTTCAGCCAGAAGTTCACACCAATTGATAAAGACAAAGTGAAAACATCGTTTGTTTATATTTCAAATGCAAACCATTGTTCATCTCCCATTGAGACAAGGTAATAAATTTTGTCCATCGTCATAATTTGGAATAAAATTGTGGTGAACTTTATCAAAAATTATTCCGAAAACGCCGTTTGGTCTTTTTTTATGGAGTAGCATTTACCCTAAGAGTGAAATAGTGCGGGTTAGCTGACAGTATTGGCCGAGGGATGGAGTTTGAGTGTGGGGAAATGGCAGGGATGACACGCCATAAGACAGGGTGCGTTGTGGTATGGGGGTCCAAAGAGGGGGGGAAAGGGGGGGGGGTTCCGAGAGGGAGTGTTAGTTTTAGTTTTAGTAGAGATTTTACGGCCCTGCATAAGGTCATATGAGCGCCAGAAGAATAGAGGTGCTACAAGAGAGTAACAAACATAAAAAGGAAGAAGGGGAGATAAGGACGATTGATGTTTCATAGGAAAGAGGAAGCAAACCTCACTAGAGCACCCGCCAACCATCCGCTGAGAGGGAGGGTAGAAACGAATGTGATGTGTATGGAGCGCAGTGGACATTGTTACCGTTGGGTTGTGTTGTCTAAGTTGCGATATTGTGGGTCCTGAGCAGGTGGGTCAGTTCTCTGCTTTTCGGTTGCTTCTTTTTTGTTTGTTTGTTTTTGCGTTTTTTGGGGGGAGGGGGTAGTTGTTGTTGTTGTTGTTTTTTGTTGTTGTTGTTGTTGTTGTTGTTGTTGTTGTTGTTGTTGTTGTTGTTGCTGCTGTTAATGTTGTTGGATATTTCTGTTGAAATGAAAATGGGGGTGGGGGTCAGATGGGAGATTTGCAGAAGAAGAGGTAAGTATTGATCATCAAAACTGAATACCAATCACTGGCAAAATATTTAGATTAAGTAATTAAGCTTCTTGTCCTTTCTTCATTCTTACTTACCCTTCGGTATATCTCATGCCCAGTTCGACGACCTGGACCTCAACGGCCATAGTGTGGAGGATTTGAATGGCATCATCGGAAGTTTCAGGGATCAGAACAGAATCTACATTGCCTTCAATAACTATGGCAGGCAAAACTCTTTCACAGCTGATGTAAGTAGCTACATCGTGGTGCCTATCGCCAACGTCATTCCATTATCACTGAAATCAATTCGAATTTAAAAGACATCAACAGTCATCTTATAGTGTATACATTGTAGTTTCGTTCTTTTTCGTAATTACTTTCCTAGTTTTAAAATGAAAAAGGTCGAGTTGCCCAAGTCATGGTTTTGATTCGAGTACCCTTTTTTTTAACAACAACACATTTCAAAAAAATGACTTAGGCGCTTGTGGAATGACGGTGACGAACTCAGCTATTTCTACTATGGTGCAACAACAGTTTATCTTTCTTACCTTGCCATATACAGCGTATTACATAATCATCAACAACCTCATTAATGTTTGCAGCATGGTAGAGTGACTAACCAAGCATGAATCATAGAATCAAGGAATTAGAAATAAATACATTTAAATTAAACTGATGGAAAACTGAATTTTTTTTTTCTTTTTTGTTTCCTTTTTTTTTTTTCTTAAATGTGTTTTTCTTCAGTGAGTTTTGACCTGGTGAGGTGATTACTACTTTAGTAGTGAAGATCATACATATGTGTTTCATGTGAACATTATTTTTCTAAAATTATTTGAAAGCTTCAATTAATGTCCTCTAAAATCCTTCCTCAATTTTGTAAGTTTTCTCCAAAAATACTAAGTATCTTCTTTGCCACCCTTCTGCGTCACAAACTACCTGCAAGATCTGTACATTACTAAATCAATCGATTTTCACGGCGTAAATGATTTATTTTTTATTTCTATTTTCCTAACTACTCGCTATATTCACTTTGTAATTCTTTTATTGAGGATCTCTTGTCGTAAGTTACCATAACCATTGCTTTTCTCTGCGTTTTTCTTTAACAGTAAATCATTTAGACAAGCTTTCGTTGGCTTTTTAGCTAGATTTTTCCTACATTCTTAGCATTTTGCCTTTTTGATATAATAAATTCCAAAGTACCTAGAGGGTAAATGCTTCGACTTGTGAACCATTGATTAAAAATGTACAACTATGTCTTCTTCTCTACAGATCTATTTGATGATGACAGGGGACAAAAAAGTGAATGTTGGCCGTTTCTACATGCTGGGAGGAGAGCGTGAAATGCCCTGGTCCTTTGAGAGACTTTTCAAATATGACATCACAGATATAGTCCGCGCCAACCATGTTGACATCAGCAAGCCCGTCAAGGTGAGGAGAAGAAGAAGAAGAAGAAGAAGAAGAAGAAGAAGAAGAAGAAGAAGAAGAAG